AACGAAATCTAAAATGAAAATTGTAAATAAGCCATCTGTATGTAAAAAACCACCTGTATGTAAATTGTAAATAAGTCATCTGTATGTCAAATATGTCTTATATGTCTTAAATGATATGATGAATTGGAAATGGGGGACCCTGATGTAAACAAGACGAAAGTCTTTCTCTGGTCTGCATCCCCTTAACAATTGTATGTTTTGAGCTGTACTGTACTGTACCCAATATACAAGCTGTTAATACACTTTTCAATCAATCAATCAATCAATCCTACTTAAGGTTTTAGAAAGAAAAAGAAAACAGGGTACAAGTCTGTAGTGACACTAGCACCCTCCAGAGGCTGAGCTGTTCATCACACACACACACACACACACACACACACACACACACACACACACACACACACACACACACACACACACACACACACACACACACAACACACACCACACACACACACACACACACACACACACACACACAAAGTGTGTTGGCCCTTTCTTGTTCATATGTTTAATTATATCACAGCTTGTTGTCAGATATAATAAGGGGAGGGACCACTTTGAGTGACAGGTGGGTGCCATCTAATGTCGCTAGCTGCTTGCTGTCTGCCCATCTCATTTAACAGATGATACCCATTTTAGATTATCTGGAGTTAGATGCTGGTGATCCTCTCCCATATTTAAACTGTCATCTGTCCAAGAAATGTGGAAATGCTAAATAATAGAACAAAAATAATAGTACATTTTTATACAGTTCCAATTGCACTGCTGCACATGTTGACAGAGACGTTTCAAACACAGGAACCCCACAAGGCTGTGTGCTTAGTCCCATGCTCTTCACACTCTTTACCAACGACTGCACCCCCATCCACACCTCCAACTAGTCAAATTTGCAGACGACACCACAGTAGTCGGTCTTATTACAGACAATAAGGAGACAGCCTACAGGCTCGAGGTGAAACATCTGAGGGACTGGTGTAAGGAGCACAACCTTGTCCTTAACACCTCCAAAACTAAGGAGCTCATTGTTGATTTCAGGAGGACAAAAAAGGAAGTTCATCTTCCCCTCCACATCCGTGGAGAAGCAGTGGAGAGCGTGGAGGACCTACGGTTCCTTGGAGTCAACATCTCCAATAATTTAACATGGACCTCAAACACCTCAAACCTGGTGAAAAAGGCACAGCAGAGACTGTTTTTCCTGAGGAAACTGAGACAGGCCAGGCTTCCACAAAAACTGATGGTAAACTTCTATCGGTCGACTATTGAAAGCACCCTGACCAGCTGCATAACTGTGTGGTACACCAGCTGCACAGCCGCAGAGCGGAAGGACCTGCAACGGGTGGTGAAGGCTGCTCAGCGCATCGTTGGGACTGAGCTGCCCAACCTTGACAACATCTACAAAAGTCGACTGCAGAAGAAAGCCAGCAGTATCATCAGAGACATCACACACCCCGGCCACTCACTGTTCGAACCGCTGCCGTCCGGCAGATGGTTCAGGTCAATAAAGTCACGCACCAACAGACTGAAGAACAGCTTCTTTCCCAGAGCTGTGGCCTCCATCCCTCCCATCCCTGTCCAACCACAAAACTCACTATAACTTTGAACATGCACACATACAAACACACTACCTCCCATCAAAGACTGCAGCCAAAAATATCATATGTTATTTATTTGTATATTTATTAAGTATCAAACAGATATTTTTTGTAACTATTTATATTTAAACATTGTAGTTTTTCTTTATTAAATCATCTTTAAAAATGTATTTTAACATTCTGGTAAATTGCATTTAAGTGATGACCCTGATTATTGCTACTATCTCTGCTTCATCACTGCTTTTATGGATGTGTTCTTATTTATGTACTGCAGTGAGAGATGCCAACTGAATTTCGTTACACTGATGTGTGATGACAATAAAGATATTCTATATTCTATATTCTATTCTATTCTAAAACAGGCTTTTTCCTCCTTCTTTTCTAGAGAAAATGTTCCAGTCCACAAAAGCACGGTTTTCCCTGTAGCTGTGACCTCTGTAGTACGTTCGCCAACATAGTGGGTATTAACTATACTTTTATGCGTAAACATGTAAACCCTCCTGTTAGCGAGGTTAGAAGGAGCACCACACTGTCCATGTCCACTGTCTGCACCAAATATTGGCTTATTTGCGCCGCTTCTAAAAGTGAATAACAGATCACACTCTGAAGTTTCAAGTTACCTGTCTACAGGCCATCGTCTGAAGATATGTACCTGAAAGGAGTTCAACAGATGCACCGTTTTCACACACCTAAAACACTGTTCTGGTGTGATATTTAAATAATGAAATGTCGGTACTATGTCATACACATAATATACTATTGTGTAAATAACCTGATGTCTTTTAAATCATTTACTTACTTTGCTTTCCCTGTTTTGATTCTTATCCCAGCTTCGATCATATTCAGGTCAATATTTGGATGGAACATCACTTTTCGGTTACTGGTGATATCCCTATAGTACATAAATGATTCTTGGACAGTGACAAAATCACAAACTAAAGCAAACTAACAAACAGCTGAACTGAGCAGCTAATAGAGACACAGGAGGTGGTTACCATAGCAACTTATCAGACTGCTCGCACAGTTTGTTTTCCTTTCCGAACCCTGAGTCACAAACACACAACAGGACAATGATGAATCCTCTGCCGAGACACACAAAGGAAGCACCGACAGGACATGCTAACCCAGAGATGATGACCTCTTCAGCTGACCGCACTAAACCTGTCCCTTATCTGACATCACTTCCTGTTTTAACCAGTACAATAAGGTTAGAAAAATAAGGAGATTTATATATGACAGAAGAAACTGTTATCAGCTTCCAGACAGGAGTTGTCTCACATGGGCCGTCCCTCTCTCTTCAAATAACTTTTTTTAAATGTATTATAATTGGCATTTATTATTTGTATTTACATTTCGTTTAAGTTCAACACTACAAGAGGAGAGATTTTAAAGATGAGAACTACGGTGGCTGACAGGTGCAAACGCTCTACAGCAGCCCAAAACATTTCCATTCAGAAAAACAGATTGCACTTAAAAATGCACAAATGTGCCCAAACACATGCAAATGAAAAAAGATATTCACCAACTTAACAACACATGTGCAGCATTTAGAAGACATTCACCAGCTTGACAAAACATATGCAGCATTTACTAAAAGCGCTGCTTAAACCAAACGCTGATGTTCAGGGATGATGAAGTTGGCCAACTGTAACTGTGTCACTGGAAACGTACCTAAAATGTTTAATCGGCTTATTTTAACGATGTGATCACATGACTCCTTCTGATATTACTGCAGATCTGCTGTAAGCTAGCTAGTGTAAGCATTGGGTTGAGAGGTCATGTGTTGTGAGCATGCGCAGTCTGTCCTGGAGTGGTGAAGGAGAGTGTGGTGTGACCCGTATGAAGTCGGGGATTTGGTGTGGTTAAATGATCCCACTGAGAGCCGCCGTAAGCTGGCTCCCCACTGGAAGGGGCCTTATCTGGTGCAGAGGCGAATGGATAGGGGTGATGAAGTGGGGGTGACGTACCAACTAAGTAGCCCGTTTGGGGATGAAGCCTCTCTCCAAACTGTTCATTACGACAGACTACGGCGATACAACCTGCCGGTAGCCTTTCCCTTGGAGGGACCATCAAGGTCTCTCTTAAACCTTTCTCAGCCTCTTCCGTTGCAAGATGCAGTTACAGAGCTCTGGACGCTTGAGGTTTTCCGATGGAGAAAGTGACTGTGATCTTGGGCCGGGTTCTGGGGCTGGTGATTCCCCTGAGCTCGAACAAGCCGCACCGACGGTGTCCCGGGCTGGGAGGTTAGCGCGGCCTCCTGTCCGCTTTATGGACTTTGTTATGGGCTGAATGACTGGTGTTTACATGCTTGTGTGATTATTTTCTCCTGTGTATTCTATGCTGCATAATTGTGTTTTTTTCATGTTTCAAGTGTGCAGGACAGGGGAATGGGTTATGTCATACCTAGTTGATGTTTTATTTGGGCTGTGGATGTGTTTTGTTGTCATTGTTTTTATTCAAAAAAAATGTTTTCGTCAAATGTACATCATGCTTGCATGTATTATTCTGCAGGGTATTGTGTAGTTTTGTTATGTTTTGGGTTTTTTTCGTGGTTGTGTATTGTTTTTTAATGTTTTGTTGTGTTCTCACCATGTGTGTGGAAATGGGGACATTTCTTTCAGGAAGGGGGGACGCATGTAAGCATTGGGTTGAGAGGTCATGTGTTGTGAGCATGCGCAGTCTGTCCTGGAGTGGTGAAGGAGAGTGTGGTGTGACTCGACGAGAATAAACGGAGGCGCTATCTGTGACGCTCCAAAAAGTACTAAGTTCCTGAGTTTTTGTTACACAGAAGTATTCTTGAAGCCTTAACACCTCGGACGTTACACTAGCTAACGTAGCTAACCTAGTCATTTCAGATATACTGACAAACACTTACAGTCATGAGACAGACTAACTCTGCAACAGAGAAAGTTGTCCAGCTTTATAATCCTGAACGTCACCAAGCGCTCCGGTCCCAGCTGTGTGCGTCACTTTTTAGTGTCCCCTGGTCTCCCAGCTGTGTGTGTCACTTTTCAGTGTCCTCTGTTGTGTTTTGAGCTATTGCAGCGTTTCGTTTAGGCAGCGCTTTGAGTAAACGCTGTTCGTGTTTCGTCAAGTTAGTAAAGATGTTTCTTATTTTCATGTGTTTCGGCACATTTGTCTTTTATATTTGAATACATTTTGAAAGTGTAGCACGTTTCTCCTAATGGAAGTGTTTTTGGCCGTTGTAATGCGTTTGCACCTGTCGGCCACCGTATAGGGAACTGATCACTGTGTGTGCTGAGCACTATATTGAGTAGCCAATATTAGCTAGGATTGATGGAGTGTTAAGTTAAAAGTCCAACAGAGCTGGACTGAGCTGCTAACAGTAGCCTAAACTCTGATAGCAGCCACGAGGGAGGGTTCAGGGTCTCAGCCGTCTCCTACCTTTTCTTGATGCGCAGTTGAACTCCTCCTGACGAGCATGGTGTACTGTGGTGGGATGAGGGTGGTGTTTGTGGTGATGGGGGTGATGGGGGTGACGGTGATAGAGTGGATGGAGGAGGAAGAGCAGGCAGGGAGGGACGTGAAGTACCAAACTCCTTGATGTATCCTGGATCCAACTCCCTGAGGAGAGAGGCACAACGTGGTTACGATCCCTCCTCATGCTGCATGTTGTTTCATCATTTATACACTGGCTTACACTTGAAGCAAGAGGTTTGCTTACATATGTTTATAATGTAAATTTCCAAAATAAAAGCGGATCGCCAAATGGCTCTACATTGAAGAGAGGTGGAAAACCCCCAAAAAAATGCTGGCTCAGAGCAGATTGGCTAATCTACAACCATCACTCCATGATTGCCAAAATAAAGCAGGCCTGCTGCGTTCAGGTCTGACCGGTTCAAACAGGACTGTCTGCATGTCTGTTTCTCTTTCACTTCACATCACATTCATAATTTGGTCAGAACAGTGGCTCATGGAGCTGCAGTCCCAAGATGGTTGATGGTATCAAAAACAGTGATAGAGAGTACAGGTCACATGATCCTGGCAGTAGAAAAACTCCTTTAAGCCCTTTAATTATCCAAACAAACAGAGAAGTAAATTACCTTCGGTTTAAGAATTTGAGCCAATCATCTGTCCCCCCCCCCCACACACACACACAAACACACACACACACACACACACACACACACACACACACACACACACACACACACACACACACACACACACACACACAGGTTTACTTAGCGCAGTGACTAATTATTGGTACATCTGTACTTAACCTAAGAACATAATGTGTTTGCCACTTGGGGGCAGCTGAAACACGTTGTGGACACTGACATATCACCATAAATAGATTTGTTGAAGTTCTTGCTCTGTTTTTGTCTTTACCTACTCCTGAGGTAAATGTTTTCCAACAAGTCTCTATCTGTTCCTGTCTTATAGCTTCTTTAAAGCACCAGTCCAGTTACAGTATTAGCAGCTGTATTAATCTGAGCTCAGTGCAGAGACAGGTCAGGGATGTGATAGGCTAGCTCGGCGCTGAGACTTTGTTAGTTGAACCGGTGTATACATTTCAACACGAAAAATGTATAATGACCAGGTGGTAAGATGTGACACGTTTGAGTATTAAAGTGCACCTATCATGCTATTTTTAGGCATATATTATGGGTCTCAGATATATAAAAATATATAAAAACATGTCTATGATGTGTTTTTCTCAAAATACAAACATATCATGCATTTTAGACATCCCTCATATCCCTCTATTCCAGCCCTGTTTAGAGAAATGCGGACTTAGCTTGAAAACAAAAAAAAAGAGGAGGCGGAGCTAATGCCTGATCAGAATTCTACCGGAGATAAAGTTAAATTCTGCTGTGATAAAACGCCATCCTGTTCTAAACCACATCAAGGATTATTTCTGAAACAGTATGGAGCTCAAATTATTTTTCTCTTGCGGGTTTACCACAAGGTGAGTTCCTTTTTTTATTTCTTGCTTTTTAAACACATTTGCTCTCCAGTACAGGTTAGCTCTGAGTGTTAGCGATGCTTGCTAATGTAAAAAAAGTAGGGCTGTCAGTCGATTAAAATATTTAATCGCGATTAATTGCACGATTGTCCATAGTTAATTGCGATTAATCGCAAATTAATCGCACATTTTTTTATCTGTTCTAAATGTACCTTAGAGGGATATTTTTCAAGTTTTTAATACTCTTATCAAGATATGAGTGGACAAATATGCTTTATATGTTTGTTTATTATCATTTGAACAATGACAAATATTCTCATGAATATTAAACACAACAACCTGAACATTACAAATATTCGATTCAACCTGGAACCTCTCATACAATAATACTGTGTGTGTGTGTGTGTGTGTGTGTGTGTGTGTGTGTGTGTGTGTGTGTGTGTGTGTGTGTGTGTGTGTGTGTGTGTGTGTGTGTGTGAGAAAGAGAGAATGTGGAGACACTGTGATGGATCGTTGGAGCTATGTGCAGCTCAAGGCATATATGCTCGAATGGGAGCTGCCTGGACGCTGCAATCATGTTGCGCGCACTATCCGTGCTGAGTGTGCTGACTTTTCGTACAATGTCCCACTGTCTGGCTACCTGCATAAAGTCAAGTGCTCGGCGCAGTTGTCGGCGAAATGCCGCTCCTCTGTTTTCATTGAAACAGCTCCTTATATCCGTTAGCGCAGCTAGCTAGCACCAGATGCTAACAACAACAACAACAACACGTAAGGTGTGCCTCGCTCGAGTCGCGCCACACATACACACACCCTCCCGGTCCTCCCGATGGCCAGTCCGGGCCTGCCGGTGAGCGTGGAAGTGTGGTCTGCCACAAGCGGGCGGTAGGAGCGGGGCTGTCAGCATCAGCTTGTAGATGGTATTTTAAACTCGATGCGCTCTGAAACTACGGGGCGGGGCGGGCGAGGACAAAAAATACACATGCGTTAATCGCGTTAAAATAATTAGTGGCGTTAATCTTTTTTTGCGTTAACGCGTTAACTTGACAGCCCTAAAAAAAAGACCATATTACGTCCAAAACACGTCAGGCATTGTTTCTGATAGCAACTCTCTGTGGGTCCACCATCCGAAATTACGTAATATCGGCAGCAAATCTGTATCCGCTCGTTGTAAAGCGTTGTTTTAAAAGATGTGGGTACCAGTGGCGTCGCCTGGCCTGGCCCCCGAATGTTTTTTCTGTAGCCCCGGACAATTCTCACTCAATAATATAATACATTAACCGTGCTTTACCTGAACCTCATCATGACACTAGAGAGGACGGCAGGATTGTCATTTCCCGTGTTCAGTGAATGCAACAGAGGCAAGCACCGGTGCCAGCAGGGACCGTGTTGTTAACATCTGGTTAGCTAGCTGCACTAACGGACATAAGGAGCTGTTTGTTCCACAACAAGCTGGAGGAGAGTCCTCTCCTGTCAGACTGAGAGGCTCAGGTGAGCTCAAGGAGTGTTTAGATAGGTAACTTTAGTCTAAGTTATCTCAGTGGGTCTCAAACGGTTTGGTCTTTTTATGTAAAAGATTATTTCCGAGGCACACCTTCATACGATCCTTATAGTTATAAAAAAAACAAGACAATAAATGAAAAACAGTTATGAAATAGCCTACTATATGACAGTAAAATAAGAATACAGTTTAAAAGTGGAGTGATTTGTAAAATATCCATAAAGAAAAAGAAAATCTGTTTACAGTTCTGTTTCCTATGGGTGTTGAGAGATGTATCCATAGATCTCTTCATTTTGCTCTCAAAGTGCACCAGATTGATGCTTTTAACTTCAACATTTGAAAAAAAATCTTCGGCTCCACGGATTGGTCCATTTCGTTCCGGGTACGGGGTTACGTCACCCCGTACCCGGAAGAATCAAATGGACAATGACGTATCTCCAACGAGGCGTTTTGGGGAGGTATAGTTAGAGTTTTACTCGCTACAGGGTGTACTTTGAGGGTTTTGACTCTGCACACCGTTTACATGCATAAAAACCTTCATAACACACAAGGGGACGGGTAATAACCGGAAAAGCATGACATGGGAGCTTTAAAATGCAGATAACAAAAAAAGGAAAAAAAGAGAGAGAGAGCTTGGGGCCACTGATGGTTAGAGCAAGTGAAGTTAGAAGTTCATATAGTACTTGTTGTATACATTGGATTTAGAATATGTGACAAAGCTCTGTATTAGTGTGTAGTATTATACAGCTCAGACCCTCACTACGGACCCTTTGAACGTGAATGCTGGGGGGATTTACTGCAAGACACTACAGTAGGTGATGAGAGAAACAAAACCCTACTGGATAGGCTCGTCTCACTGCCATAGAGATATTTCAATAATCCATCTTCAATGAAGTCAGAGCTCTTCCTCCCTCCACCCAGCAGAGCCATTTAAATCTACAATCCTTTTCAACAGAGAGAATAATACAGACAATACACAACTGACAAACACACACAGTAACACACCCAAAGTTATATTATTCGCCGGGGACATTCCACTGATGAGTATTCAGAACAAAGTTGTGTACAACAAACACACACGCACACACACCCATTAGAGTGAAACCTGTCGAGCTGGTCAGAGGAATGTGTGGCAGCCACAACACCCTGAAGACACCTGAACACACACACACACACACACACACACACACACACACACACACACACACACACACACACACACACACACACCACACACACACACACACACACACACACACACACACACACACACACACACACACACACACACACACAGGCAGAGGAAGGCAGGCGTCGTATAACCTCAGGTTGAACCTTGAACCTCATGCTTTTTGGTGAAACCTTGTTCACAGTATGTTCATTCAAATTAAAGAGGAGATGCACAAGTTTCCAAATATACAAGGCTGCATAAGGCTGTCAATTTGTATGGATGTGAATACAAAAATGGGGGGGGTACAGGTCTCTTCTGCATGGGGCCCCCAGAGTGGGGGTCATCTGCCTAATAATTACAATTAATGCAATTACTACTACTGTTGTTTTAGAAGTACTTCAGCTGTTGAAACAATTTTGGCTGTAAATGAATTAATTGCAGTTCTTCATTAAAAACACCATTTTGTGCAGATTACTTCCGTTATGTGAGGAACATTAGCGTCTATAACAAATGCCATGTGATCAAGTGATGATACTGGCAGTGATGATGAGCAGCTGGCTGAGAAATACAGAACCAAATCAGATTCATTAACTAGTCAGCGTACAACGTTACAGCAAAAGAGACATAGCAGATAAAAGGCAAGCAATAATAAAGTAGCTAATAATACAAAAATCATCTTCTTTATTTTTCAAAAACATTTCACTTTAGTAAGTTTGCAGTTCAAATATTCTGCTGCTTTTCCAAGCCTTTTTACTCTCTTTTCTTCTCTCATCACACATTCAAGCCCCCAGTGTTCATGTATCATTTCAATCTAAATTCTTCACTGTCTTCTTACACATTACATTTCAGCATAAAGCATTCCCACTAGCAATTTCTTCAGGAATTGTATTCTCTAGTTCTCTTCTGTACTACAGCGTGCCGCCCACTGAGTTAAACAAAGTTATAAAGCTCCTTGAAAAGGTCGTCCTAATTCCTACGTTAAAGGG